AAGCAGTCTTCTGGGATTTGGCGCCGTGTATATGTGGTGTTAACCCCACATATACACGGCGCCAAAGCCCAGAAGACTGCTTTCTTCATAGTCACCGCCGTGAAAGCCTCAAATCTTACATTCTGCAATATTATTTGACTGATACTTCACATCCAACAAATTATTTCAGTTTTGTAGGGTCAGATTTGTGAGCTAAAAAAATAAATAAATTACCCGTTTGGAGTTATGCACTAGCGTGACTCTTTTGGCCTTTCAGCCTTCATCCTGTTTTGCAGTCAGCAGTTCTTAGACGGCTGTCTCTGTAAGGGAAAGAATTTTTGGCTTTTGGATTTTGGATTCTTACTGATATGTTTGTGGTGTGTCACATAATTTGTTTCCAAGAGTGAACAGTGTACAGGACCATGGCATAGGAAATGTATGTAAATTAATTAATAAGGAAATACACTGGCCTCAAAATGAAAGACAGTAAGTTTGTTAAACAGTGAGTGTAAAGGAAGTTTTGTACTTCATATGCCAGTGAAGTTACTTACTTACTCATGGAGCTGAGCCCTTCTTGAGGAGCCGCCAATTCTGCAGCTACTCAAGAATTTCCCAGCATTTTATGGAACCCAAAGGTTCATTACTGTGTTCACAAGAGCCATCCACTGGTCCCTATCCTGAGCCAGATCTATCCAATCCATACCATCCCATCCTATCTCTCTAAGATCCATTCTAATATTGTCCACCCACCTACGCCTTGCTCGTCCCTGTGGTCTGTTTCCTTCCAGCTTTCCCACCAATATCCTATACACATTCCTCGTCTCCCCCATTCGTGCTACATGACCTGCCCACCTCATCCTCCTTCACTTGAATTATACTTGGAGAAGAGTACAAGTTATGAAGCTCCTCATTATGCAGTTTTCTCCAACCTCCTGTCACTTCATCCCTCCTCAGTCCAAATATTTTCCTTAACACCCTGTTGTCAAACACCCTCAGTCTATGTTCCTCCCTTAATGTCAGAGACCAAGTTTCACACCCATACAGAACCACAGGCAATTTCAATTTCACGATTCATGCCAGTGAACAGCTGCTCAAAATTTCGGTGTGGCAATTTTAGGAGTTGGAAATGTTAAAAAGACAGGAATATGATCCTGAAGATATAAATGTCTCTTTCACATTCACTTCACATCTATTGATTTGATGTTGATGCCAGTACTCACAGGATTAGAAAGAAAATAGGAGCAGATTTCTGTGGCTCCCAAGTGCTCCATTCAGAGCCAACTGATGTTGCTGTGCTTGTTGTGTGCTTCATACTAGTTTGTTCTTGGCTTATTCTTCGGTCCAGGAGGAGGAGGTAACATGTTCCCCCAGATAGTCAGTTGACTTTCAGTGGACTACATGGCATTATATCCCACATGAAAACTCTTCATAACCACTGCTGTGAGAATCTCTAATCCTACAAGGTAAAAGTACTTCGAGAAGCTTAACATGAAGGCAAGAGTAACAGAATACAGTAGTTAGATATGTAGAGAATTCGGCGCCCACCCCAGAAACGTGAAAAGGATTTTTTATGGTAGATTCACGACATTCGGTTGCCTGTAATATTAGTAATGATGGACCTCAAAATTTGTACAACTTTGGCATTTTACATCATAATATTCAGAGTCTGGGAAACAAAGTGATGGCTTTAAATGTGTTAAGTTCTTGGTCATTAAAGCCTGCCATCCTATGCTTCTCTGAACATTGGCTTTATAGAGATTATCATTCAGATATTAACATTGATCACTATAAATTGGTGGCTAATGTTTGTAGGATCTCAAATAGATATGGGGGTTAGATATGTTCATGGCTATAACACTATTCATAAACACAATTTGTACGTACAATTTTGTAATACTGAACGTAGCAAGAGAGGTGTGATTAGTATGGGAACAAAAATATTTAATGGCCTTCCGAGTGAATTAAAGAATGTAATAAATTTTAATGTTTTTAAGCAGAAACTTAAGAATTATTTGTTATGTAATGTCTTCTATTCTCTTCAAGAATCTTTTAATAAATGTTAACATGGACTGCTTGTTGATAAATCTGTCAGTATATTTTTATGCCTTTTTTGGAGTATTTCCTATTATTAATAATTGTTGACATAGACTGCTTGTTAATAAATCTGTCTGTATGTTTAAAATATTTATTCTTATGTTTTTTTTTTGAGTATTTATTATTCTTAAATTGAGTTGAAGATGTATTTTGGAACGTATTGCTGTATTATAGTGATGAATCACTGTGTGAATGTTATGTTATTTTTGATGTGAGGTTGTTAATATTTGACATGTCCCATTGTAATTCTCGCCAGCTATGGATGAAATAAATAATAATAATAATAATAATAATGTAGTCAATACAACAACAAAAAGGGAAAATTAAGACACTGATTTTTGTAATTTAGCCACCTGCTTAAGTCGATCATTAGTGGAACCACACATGGTCAACATAGACAGCTTTTATGGTAGGTAAATTAATATTAATATGCCCTTAATAGCAGGGGGCTCTTCTCTGGCAATTGAAAATCCTTTGCAGGATATGGAAATATTTTTTTATTAAAAACATGATGCCAAAACTGTGGGAAGAACAGTATGTGTTTAAAAAAATAAGTCCTTAAAGAGAGGTCTTCTTTTTAAATCCTCCAGCCAATCCAGGTAACCCTTTACATCTGAATACGAGTACCTTCATTTTAGGAAAAGCTCTCTTATGTGTGTACACAGTTTGTATGCATTCTGTTTGAGCATAATTAGAAAACCTGATTTCAGATTAAAATCTTTGGAGCCATTTGTTCGACACTTCATGGGGCAAAAGTTCCTTGATATTCTGGAGGTTCAGAAGAAGGAAGATGTTACATCTATCATGGGTAAGTCATGAACTTCAGTGGCAAACAGAATAACTGAATAGCATTCTGTGGCACTCTTGAATTAGTGTTGACAGATCTTGTGTTCTTCATTACAATTCCAAATGAGTGTAATTAAATCAGAATCAGAAATTTATGTCAGTTTTTAGTAATTATTCCTGTACACACAGAATTTAAATTCCTTGAAAAACCATGCAGAAAAATTAAATTGGCATTGAATGCATTAAAGTGCAGAATATCATGAAACAGAATGTTTATTAAGTTTTTAAGCTGTGAGTTTCAAGTTATAACAGAATTTTTAAAAATGAATTCATTTGCCTATATACAAAGTTCTGAAGTAACCAGTTATTATATGCACATCCTAGTTTACATTCCTGATTATTTTTGCACCTCTAATTGTTTATCCTTTGAGGAAGAAACACTGGCCTATCCTGTACTTTCATAGGTGGGTTTGTACCACTTAGGTCCTGAATGCCTCATTTAAAGCAGAAGATGTAGGATGCGTGTCAGAATTGGTTCACATGCAAATTGAGTGGTGGCAGTCTACACATAGTTCACTGTTTCTTACATGGTTATCATCTGCACCGAGGCTGCTGGTGGGATATGAAATGCTTAACATCATGAAAGGTTTGAGTCTGTTGCATTTTCATGTGTAGGCCTACATCTATACAGTATATATGTAACACTTACTGACAGTGAACAGCCATTTGCAATAACTGGTTACAAATGACCATAAGATTGTCTCCCCCACTAAACAGCATGGAATAATTTTCCGTGTTTTGAGTCACTCATGTGGCAAACATGATTAAAATAACTTTTTCTGTAAATGCCCTTGTACTTATAGCATGCTTAGAGCTTCATGCACAGCTGATTTGTTTGGATTTGTATTGACTAGAGGAGAGGAAGCAGGTTAAATTGCAGTGATTGCAGAATCCAAACTAAGATAATCTGCATGGCAAAAACATGATATGAATACAATTCTCAGGAATACAATAAAGACTCCATAAGAAGAAAAACTGATTAGCAGAAGAGCAGAGAGATTTGTGCAGTGGTGCTAATTAATTTAAGAAAGACCACTGACCAAGGAATTACTTGGTTGAAGATGAAAATGGTAATCTGCCTGGAGATTCTCACAGTTTTTATTGATAGGTGAGAAGATTACTTCAGTCATCTAGTATATATGGAGGCATGCAGTAGCATAGTTGGTTGAGACACTATGCAACAAGCCAGAAGGTAGTGGGTTTGATTCCCGATGAGGTCACTGGATTTTTCAATTTACCTAATCCTTCCAGCCGCACTATGGCCCTGGGGTTGACTCAGCCTCTAGCAGAAATGAGTACCAGGAATTTTTGTGGGGATAAATAGCAGCCAGGGCATAAGGCTGACAACCTTACCACCATCTCTGAGCTGATTATCTAAAGAAAGTGTGGGAGCCTTGACATCTCCTAACCCTATGGGCCTTCATGGCCTGTTACAGGGACAGCTTTACCTTTTACCTTACATTTACCATCTAGTATATATATGAGAATAATAATATTAGGGAGACTGAAGTGCATAGAGCTGAGCCATTAATATTCAGGAATTTTGAAATTGAAATTGCTGATCCAAGCAGGAGGTAGAACATTTAATTTCTGAAATTCACAAACTGTTTCATTCTGTTCGGACTAAGGAAGAATTGCCACAGCAGTAGAAGGATTGTATCATTGTGCCTACTACTGGCAGTAGTAATTATTAAGGAGTATTATTTTTCAATCAGCTGTATAGAAAATATAATTAGTTGGTTTCCAATGGCTGCATTTAGGATCATTTAACCCATTTTTCTTCTTGCTTCCCAATAGAGACCACTCAAGTTCTTACTTTCTTGCATCTTGAAGAAGTTTGCACTTTTCTTTTGGGAAGCTTTGCCAGGTTTGTTGCTCATTTTGCACTACCCAGGGGACATGTATGACTTAAAGAATGTCACGAATGTGAGCACATTATACTCTTAAGGTAAACTCCACACTTGAACAAAATTATTGGGGTTCATTAATATGGATTTAAATGTAATAGTTCATCTTCTGAGCAGGTTTACTGCCTCCATCAGATACTTGAGACAAGACAGGAGTACAATAGGTCTGTACATTAGCTATTTATAGACTTCAAGAAAGCCTATAACTCTGTTTGGACAGAAGTATTATACAACATTCTCATTGAATTTGGTTTAACCATTAGCTCGGTAAGGCTAATTATAGAGTATCTAAGCGAAAACTATACTAAGGCACAAAGATAAATGGTCCTTGATACAAATCCTGTTCTGAATGTCATAAATAAGGAGATGCTTTATAGTCATTGCTGTGGTGGTGCAGTGGTTCCCGGAGCAGCCCAGGACCTTCTTCATGGTGGAGATTCATCAGTGGGATGTTTGCCTCAATACCTATTTGCTACTGTTTTTAATGGCCTCTGTGTTTTTAGCTGAGAACAATCCCCAAATGAGTTTCATTTGAACAACCCTGATATAATGTTCCTTCCAAACCCATTTTTATGTAACTCATTGCATGCCACACACTGATGCATTGACTGGAGGAAACTGTGTTAAAGCCACCATGGCCAAATCAGAATGACATGCTGATGTTTGGAAGAAAGAATGGGCTTCCATATGATGTATACCAGCTATAGTTTGAAGTAATTGAAGAAGGTATTGCGGGTTTTTCTGTGCAATTGCATTAACCCTCAGACTGTCTTGATATTTCTTACAGGCAGTTCTGTGGTCGTTCTTAACAGTCAGAGAGTTAAATGTAACAAAGGTGTTTTTAGTATAGAAATAATCTGAGGATTCCTATAAACTTTGCATTGTTTGGTTTCCTTTTCAGTGAAGAATGAATGCGTAAATTCAGTACTGCCTATTTTGACAAGATACAAATTGACTAAGGAAGCTGGTGACTTGCTTTGTATCTCATTTACATCCTTGACTGAGTATTTATGGCTCCTGAGGGCTGCTTGTGAATGTCTCACTCCGTTTGGCTCACGGGCAGTTCTTTATCTTGCTGCTGCTGTTTCAGATTTCTACATTCCTTCAAATGAAATGGTCAGTAAGTAAATTGTAACCTGTAATACAGGTTTCTGTAAATGTTATGGTTTAATTATAAAAACAGCAATTATTTTCTGCCTTTCAGCCGATACACAAAATGCAGTCCGAAGCAGGCCCACCAACCATATATTTGAAGCTTGTCCCTAAAATGTTGGAACCACTAGTAAACATATGGGTACCTAATGCATATGTTGTTTCATTTAAACTTGAAACAGATGATGAACTTCTCATTGATAAAGCACATGCGGCCCTTAATAAATATAAGCACAAGGTATGTTACATATTTATGAGGAATGTAAAGGTTTTAATTTGAAACAGTTCATTTAATACAGTTAGATTTGAGATTTTCATGGAGGTAATATCAGTACTGTTGTCTTCTGGGATCTGCTGCATGTAGTCTAGTACATGTTTACAGATGATTCAGAGGATCATATTACATCCATCTTCAGTGTAGAAGCATAAGCTGAGCATCCAGTGAAGTTGTACAATACAGAGAGAGAGGGAGGGAGGGGGAGAGAGATATATATGCTGAGAAAGGCCCCCTCAGCTAGCCAACTAAAGAAAGGAGAAGAATGAGAGATTATTATTCTTCCTACTTCAGTTGATTTGCTCATTTCTTCTTTTTCTGGCCATCTTTCTTCCTGTATTCTAGCATTTGTATCTCCACACTTGGCTTATGCTGGGCTACTTGGTGTCACATCCCAGAGGACAGTAAGTTTCATTTATTATTATATGATAAAAACGGTATTTCATTTTTAACTCTTTAAATTGCAGTTGTGATTCATTGTGTAACAGGAATATCAGCTTTTTGTGCTGTTTCAGATGGTCATAGGAAACGTTCTTCAGACTCGAAAACAGAGAGTAGTTCTTGTGATGCCTAACACAACCAACGAAATTCAACTGAGTTCTGAAGAAATGGAAGCTGGACTTGAAATTGAATCAAAAATAGTTGCAGATATTGCTGAAAGACATAACTTATTTATGAAAGGAGCTTCATATAATTCTTGAGGTTTTTGTGGCAGTGTTTGGATTGTGATCTTCTTGGTTGTGTGTCATGCAGTCTTGTAGGCGGATACCAACATTTCGGAGCAAGTGACTACTGCATCTTTAATGCTAAGATCCACAGGAGGAGAAGTCAAGACAACCCAGTCTGGGGCAATATGAGCAGTGACAGCCCTTCTTGCAGCCTGTCTGTATACTCTAAATAGGCATGTCCAACGCATCAGTCGCGATCGACCGGTTAATCGCGGGATGATTTTTGGTTGATCTCATAGGCCTATAAGGAAATTACCCATTGAGCAAGGCATCTCTTGAAAATGAGATATTAACCCTTAAAAATGACATTTTTCTCAAGACTCTTTCTGGACAAGAATCATTTTGGAAGTTAGTGCCAAGATGCAGTGAAATTGTACACTCCTGTTTCGGTTCAACTTATATGTGTGAATCTGCGTTTTCTTACCTAAAATCTTACATTCCAATATGACAGATTAACATCTCTAGGATTGCCTGAAACTGGCCCTCACCCAATACTCACCTGACTTCCAACAGCTGGTGAATGAAATGCAGGCCCAGACTTCTTACTAACGAACAAGGCAAGTCTGTACTTTCAATGTATGTATGTTGCTTTTACAACAAACATCATGTGTCGTGTTATTTTTACCAATATTTTTGCTTATAGCGAGGTACTGTGATAGGAGGGGGTGGTAGATCACTGGCAGTTTTGACACTAAAAAGTCAATCACAATCTGTTTGAAGTTGGACATGCCTGCTCTAAATCATCCTCACGCTGCACGCTTCAACCCTGAAGATGGAGGCAGCATATTCCTCCAAAGTGTTCATATTCTCTTACAAGAGTCAATCGTGTCAACTCAGAAGGTCACACAGCCTGAAGGATCATCCTAGCTAATTTGTGTATGAAAAGTGAAATATTTTTATATGAACTTATTGTATTGTAATGTAGTATGTGTGACTATAAATGAGGTATGGATTGAATATCGGGTTTATTGACCACTTTTACACATCACTCAGAACTACATGTATTTACAGTGCTATTGCTGATCTGCACACTTTACAGGCCAGTACACACCCACACCAGGGTTCTCAGGCTTCACTGGTTGTATCCTGGCAACAGATTTCAACACAATAACTATACCAGTCTCACTGAATTACACACTCCAAATATCACACATAAAGTCTTCTCTTCACAGGCTGGCTTTAAAATCTCAACTGAACTCGTTGCCATCTCTTCCCAGTCATATTTGACTGCTGTCTCAAAGAGACTTCCTCAATTATTCTTCCAGCTGGCTTGGGATCCTCGTTATATAGTCTTGGACTGGATCCAACAGAAAACACTGTTTCCATCGTTATAGCTCAACAGTACCTTGATTGTTTGCTTGCTTATTTGTTGCCCCAGGAACCCATTTACCGAGTCTTTGCCTAGTAATTAATGTGCCATCGCCACACCACTCTCTCTGGTCATCTCTAACCTATATATGGAGAACTTCGAGGAGAGGGCATTTGACTTGGCCCCACACAAGCCCCGCTGCTGGTTTCGCTATGTGGATGACACCTTCGTCATCTGGCCACACGGGCCCGACAAGCTTAAAGACTTCCTGAACCACCTAAACAGTATCCACCAGTGCATTCAGTTCACAATGGAGACTGAANGGGGGGGGGGGGGGGGTGTATTCAGGAAGAACGGATACAACAACCAGCAGATCCACAGAGTTCTCAATTGTCAGCCCAACATCAGCCGGCATTAAGATAAACTGGGCTCAGTCGCCTTCCTGCCCTATGTCGGGACTACATTCAACCATAGTAGCAGAGTACTTTCCTGACACAACATCAAATCAGTGGGTCTGCCTCAAAACAAATTATTCACTTTCCTCCGGCTGGTCAAAGATAGCCTGGGACTAAGGACACCAGGTGTATACAGTATCCCATGCGAGTGCGGCAATGTCTATATTGGACAGATGGGCCACTCTGTGGACACAAGGTTGAAGGAGCTTCAGTGGCACATCTGTCTCGAACATTTGGACAAGTCAGCTGTAGCTGAACATAGCATCGATTCGGGACACTGCGTTCAGCTTCAGAATACCTCCATCCTCACCACCAAGACACGATATATGGATCGCATCATTAGGGAAGCCATTGAGGTTGAACTCCATCCTGACTATGAACAGAGAGGGGGTTTTGTCTCAGCAAGTCATGGAAGCCGCTCATCTGTTCCCCCAAAAAAACCCTGGGACATGACGCCAGATCCACAAGGCCACACAGTCCATGACCGACTCGCATAGCAGTCCCCCAGATTAAGGGTTAATGCCCTCCTGGTAGACAAAGAAGATCTGTAACAAGAAATGAGGATTTTTTTTATGGTGAGAGAATTCTGGTTAAGCTAGTGACTTCAGGACTAATGGTTTAGACAGATTAAATAATACTTACAGAGTAAGTGCTGAATGAAACTAAGAATATTTGAGAATCAAATCACAATCCTATGATGATAACAGATTATTACTAAATTCTTCTGATAATAATTCATTCAGTATATATCATCAAAATATTAGGGGCTTACAAGGCAAAGCAAATGACCTTATAAGTTCATTGTATCCATAACTGCACATTTGCTATGTTTAACGGAAGATCACCTAGATTACCTGGATTTAGATCATACTTATATAGAGCATTACATTCTTGGTGCGGAAAGTTGTAGACAAACTCTTGGATAAGGTGGAGTATGTATTTCTGTACATGAACTATTAAAATTTTTTAATGTTAATGTTAAATGAGGTCTGTGAGGTAACTTTTCATATTTAGATATCATTTTAAAACCCCTGAAGTAATTCAGAATTTTTTATCTTTGTTGATATAAATGTAAATTATCTTTCTGATGATAATATGAAAAAACAGTTAGACACCTTGTTATCTTCTTTTAACCTCTCTAAGTTGGCAAATCTGATAGCTCATCGGGGAACAAATCTAATATTTCTTGTTCTCCAAGAGAACGCTTCGCCTGCAACCGCTTTCGTCTCTGATCCATGTTGCACTGCTAACTTCCTGGTTCATACATGGAAGCTTGGACTCGAACAAAGGCTTTTTTCTTTAGGGTGTGACAGGAAATGAGCGTCATCATGTTACTGGCTAAGCTAGCAAACATTCCTGAGGTCAACTACGCAGTAGTTATGATGCAACATGGCCACACAGCGAGATATAGTCGGTTGCAACATAACGCGTCAGAAAAGGACTAGTTGGACCACCCGGTCTCCAGCGCTATAGAAACGTAGATGGCCAATTGGCCCCTCCGGTCCTGAATATGTTAACATTTGAAGAACTATTATTATTGTATAAATATTATGTATTTGTTCTTGACTTGTTCCATATCCTGTGGTGTCATCCTGTACTTGGATCTACTGAATGTGAATAAATACAAATTCAGATATTTGAGAATGATATGTGCGATATATAAGTTGTGAAGTTTTCATCGTGTGTTATGGTTCAGATTTTGGTTATTGGGGTTGCGACACTGAGTAGATAACAGTGTCTTGGAGGAACATGCTCCCTTCATCTTTCAAGCCTACCCCCACAACCTGACGGTGTATGTACTGTTTATACGGAACAGTGGTCTCTGAACTGTAAGTGAAAGCGAAAAGTTACCCTAAAAAGAGATTAGGTAAGTCAGTTCATAAGATAAATGCTCTTCTGCCTGTTCTATATATCTGTGGGTGCTGAAATAAAAACATATGAGGTAAAACATATTGTCATGTGTTACTGACTGGACACAGGGTTTGGTATGATAACTTGATTTATGCACCACATACATTGTAACTCAACTACAAAGTTTTGACTAGGTTTGAGCACGATAGACAGCCTCACATCCAAGTTCTGCTTTCAAGAACATGATCCTTTACATGGCTCCTCTTAGGTCTGTTTTCAGCTTCCATTTATTCCTTTTGCGCCTTTGCTGTGCACAGTTTGCCTCAGTTAATTGCGCTTCAGGGACTTGGTTGGTTTTGTGACATTTCTGAGGTGTGTTTCCATCCTCTGTGGATCCATGTTGTATCTCTTCCATAGCCATTTTTCCTTAGTGAATTCTGCTTCCAGTGACTTGATTCTTTCTGTGGCAGCGCTGAGGTCTGTTTTCATCTTCCTATTCTCCTGGTTCCATCTCTTCCATGCACAGTTTTCCTCATTCAGTTCCACTTCCAGTGATTGGAATCTCTTTATGGTAGCTCTCAGGTCTATTTCCAGCATACCTTCCTTGCTATTGTATCTCTTCCGTTGAGAGTTTGCCTCATTCATTTTCACTTCCAGGGATGTGATCTTCTTTTTGGAATTTCTCAGGTCTCTTTGTAGCCTCCTTTTCTCCCCTTTATATTTGTTTTGCACACAGTTTGCCTGAATCAGTTCTGCTTCCAGGGACTAAATTCTTTCCATGGCAGCTCTCAGAAATAATTCCAACTTTGCTTTCTCCTTATCAGAGATCATCTGCATGCATTTGGCCTCACTCAGTTCCATTTCCAGGTTCTCAATCCTACAAGTATATTGACAATATAAAACATCTGAGTTTGGACAAGTCTCTTCACTAGGCTGAAATTCTTCATCACTCACTACGTATTCACTACAAAGTGATGGTGACACATACAAATATCCCCGGAATATCTCGTCACAGTCTGGAAGTAGAGTAGTATGTAATTGTTCAGAAAAGTTGCTGTTATCCAACTTATTACTTTCTGTAAGTGGAAGTGGTGGCAAAATTTTCTTCTGTGCCAGGTGAGACCAGTTTGTTTCTTCTAAGAATGGATGCCTTTTGAGTTCCAGGAGTCTTTTGAGTTGGAATGAGGATATTGAACCATCTTCCTATAAATATAAAATCATTATCATATAAAATTGAATTGTTTAAACCAGCATTAAAGAGATATCTTTGCTCATGGTCATTTTATTCATTAGAGGAGATTTTTAATCAAAATAATTTGTAATACTGATTGGATGTAAATGGGAATAACTGTGTTATATTTTTTAATTTTAATTATGTTTATTACTTAGTATTATGTGATATTGTTTTATGATTAATGTTTAATGATTGTGACAAATGAACTTGGAGTAGTAAGAAGTAAAAGGTTGTATTTCTAACAGTGTATGAATCTATGTTGTTATGATATGGCTTGATTTAATGTTAAACCATGTATCTTTTTATGTTTTGTATGAGATTGTATAAGTTTGACTAGCTCTATATCCTATGGGTGCTAAAGCCCCTGTACAGGATTTGTGGAGTTATTTAATAACAATAAACAGTAAAGTTCCTCGGCATCATCTTTTCCTCCACCCAAACGCTTTCGTAGATCCTTGTCTAATAATTTAGAGATGAAGTTTGCCGCTTCAAAGGATAAGTCATCTGGGATATGGGGTTCTTGCGCAATTATTCGGAAAGTCAATTTCTCATGTGTCTCTGAATCACTTCGACGTTTAAGGGGTGACTCTCGTACGAGGAGTTGATATGTAACGATACCAAGACTCCACCAATCCACTGTCATATCATAGTCTGCGTTACTTCTTGCAATTACCTCTGGAGCCATGTATTTTAATGTACCACACCTTGAGTCTGCTCAATGCTTGTTGTGTGGAAGGAACATCCTGCTGAGACCGAAGTCTGGAAGGATTGCATGTCCATCGAAGTCCAGCAAAATATTCTCCAGCTTAACATCACGATGGATGATACCCATCTTATTTCGATTTCTGCAGCCTCATTTGTTTTGTTCTGATTTTTTGTCACACATTAGACAACAGCCACATAATGCTTATTTCCCAGTAGGCTCTATATTCTTCAGTTTCGGTAAAGAGCCACTCATTTTCCCCGGTCGTAAATGCCAAGAAAAAATGGATCAACAGAAGTTCTAATGTGATGGGTTAAGACTTCTTTGCATTTTGCCTTGATACCAGCCCATTTGTATCGACAGATGGAGAAACAAAAGCTCGTATTAATACATTCACTTCAGAATGTTTGGAACGGAGTGCACAGTTGCTCCATGTTTCTGATGGTTTGTTTCGGTAAGACGGACGACTTTGTCGTGGGTGTAAGCCGGGAAATCAGTGTTCTTATGTTACTCATGTAATGTATGTTACATATTGTTAAACGCGCCTCGTTTTATAATACGACGTAATTGCTATATATATTCCATACGGTCTATACGTTCATTGTCAGCTAGCCCAATTTCTGTTCGAGGCGTTGATGCCATCTGTTGGAGGAGCGAGAAACTTTACGACTTCAACGCGGGGAAGTGTATTATTTGAATTTCATGGCAGAGTGAGAGAGAAAGCTATCCAGGTTATTGATTTTCCCCACTGGGTTGCGCGATTTCATTTTTCGCGTGAAATAACGGGCCATCGGGCAGTGAAATTTTGTTAAAACCCGATTCGGGCCATTCGGGCTGTTACGAAGCATACTGTAGCGATCGGTAGCGATCGTATCGAGTGACTACATGGACGTAGGTTGATGTAGGAACAATTTTGTCGTGCTTTTAATACTGTATATTTGAGACTACTTACCCCACTTACCCAGCAACGAAACGAACATTAGCGCGACTGAAAAGCGTGCATTGATCTGCCAGGCGATCGCCAGGGCACAACTGACCGTAACTCACTGTGTTAGTGAAAGTACAGAGCAATATGGCACTAATGTGTGATGGTAACCGTTTGACATAGTTAGGACTGGAAGGATGGAGTTCCGAGACCCGGGCCATTAGAGGGTGAATCATCATCAGTATTGAAGCAGGTACTTAAAAAGTCCATAATTATCTCTTTCCATATAATAAACAAGCATTAAGTTTTCATGCAGCTTTGCTCACTATTAGGTGATATTCATCCTGGGGAGAAGTCAATACTAAACACCGAATGAGTAAATAGAATCAAGGCTTCAGTGTTCACTGTTGTTAGGAACGAAAATTAAATACAATAGAACGCCGATTATCAGAATTAATTAATGACAAAGGTGGTTCGGATAGTCAAACGTGGATAATTGGATTAAATTCTTGTCCACGAAAAATACCCTTATAACACTATTATAATGTACTGGACTATTATAATAATCACTCACTCATGGAGCTGAGTCCTTCCTGAGAATCCGCTAATTGTGCAGCTACTCAAGAACTTCCCAGCATTTTATGGAACCCAAAGGTTCATTATCATGCTCACGAGAGCCCTCCATTGGTCCCTATCCCAAGTCAGATCAGTCCAATCCATACCATCCCATCCTATCTCTCTAAGATCCACTTTAATATTGTCCACCCACCTACACCGTAGACCCACAGTGGTCTCTTTCCATTTAGCTTTCCCACCAGTATCCTATATGCATTCCTCTTCTCACCCATTTGTACTACATGCCCTGCCATCCTCATCCTCATTGACTTGATCATTCTAATTATTCTTGGAGAAGAGTACACGTTATGAAGCTCCCCATTATTTAGTTTTCTCCAGCCTCCCATCACTTCATTTCCCTTCAGTCCAGATATTCTCCTCAGCACCCTCTTCCCAAACACCCTCAGTCTATGTCCAAGTTTCACACCCATATAGAACCACAGGCAAAAGTATAGTGTTGTATATTCTGAATTTTATGTTTTTAGACAAGCAGTGCGCTGTGGGCTGGATGGCTGGGGTTCAAATCCCAGTAGGGGCAAGATTTCTCTCTACTCCACAGCATTCAGACCAACTCTGGGGCCACCTTTCACCTAGTATAAAATATTATTTTGAGGAACATTATTAACAGCTAAAGTTGAAATTTAAATGAGGTCTGCCACTTGCTCCTTTACTGTTTAAACCACTGGACTGTCTCATAGTACCACATACTTTAATATACTAGAACTCTGCATTCTTCCCACACAGTGTATTTGTGTGTTTCATGTGATTCTCGCAATAAACAGTGACTGTTTCCCTAAACAACATTAACCGGTTCGACTTTGTAGCAGAGACATAATGTGTTTCCTGTGAGGTACAAACTGGATTTGTATATATTACTTATAAATAATTAGGTATTTAAAGGGTTAATCCAATAGTAAACCTTATGGACGATTCAGGCCTGTTTACAAGCAGAGAAATCTTCACCATTGTGACATAAAGATATCGGTTTGGATGTAATAGTCCATTTGGATTAATAATATATATAATCATATCTAAACAAATGTTGGTTGAGTTCACTAGTCGAAAATAATTTTGTTTGCCAGACATTTCTCCACAAGAGAAGCCGCCCCTGCTATCACTGCTGTAATTACATTTGTCTGTAATAGTTTTCCTACATCTCAGTGTTAGCACCCTGGAGCATAATGTAAAGTATGGCTTTTTGTAGCAGTAAAGTGCTGCTGGCTTCTTCTGTGACCCTGCATTTGTTTGATTGCTGTGCAAGATATATGGATATATGATATTTCATACTTTGCTGAAAAATAAAGGGTTCTAGAAGTTTCACCATGGGGCATGCAGTAACGTAATTGGTTGAGGCACTATGCTGCAAGCTGGAAGGTTGTGGGTTCAGGTTCAGATGAGGTGGATTTTTCAATTGACCTAATCCTTCCAGCCGCACTATGGACCTGGGGTTGTCTCAGCCTCTAAGAGAAATGAGTGTCAGGAATCTTCCTAGTGGGTAGAAGGTGGCTGGTGCATAAATTTGACAACCTTACCGCCATCTGTGAGCTGGCTGTCTAGAGAAAATGTGGGAGCCTTGACATCTCAACCCTATGGGCCTTCACAGCCTCTTACAGGAATAGCTCTTTTTTTTTTTTACCCTTAGAAGTTTCACCATGTTCTGTGAGACAAGATTATAATACTAACAAAGCAGGTAATAAAATATTTGATGATTGCCGCATTTAGATTGAATAACAGGAAAATTGTTATTGACTATTTGACAGGAGCTTTACGCAGATGCTAGTAAAGCTCCCGTGACATCAGAGTTTCTACAATGGAGATCCCCTCAGCAGTGCAGACTCAAGAAAACAATGGGAACAATCTTAATGTGGAGCATGTGAACACCAATACTGAGCATGGAGATGAGAATGATGAAGCGAACACTAATAACAACCATCAACATCACACTGCTGTGGGAAGTCTGTGTGCACCAGCAGGGCTGACCTCCACACCTCGTAGCAGTGTTGAGGACCTGAGCGAGTATACAGATGCTGATGAGTCTGTCTCCTCTGCACCAACGGAGTTCTTGGCTGAAGTGAGTTTTACTGATGTTCATATCTGAATTTATGAGAAACACTGGACTGAAAGCAGTCAGTCAAACCCTCATTTAAGGTCGTTTTTGGGAAAAGTGGATTTGAACATTGAAGTGATGAAAATATTAAGTGGAGGAAATTAATCATCAATTGTTGACTTGGGATCATTGAAATTGTATGTTAAATAAGGGAAAACCTTAAATTGAGGGACATTAATACGGAGTTCGACTGTACTCTGAAGAACAAGATGCATTTTTTTACATTGAAATTAAAATTCTTACAACAATGACTAAGAAGATAACAGTCTCCTGGGTTGTAATACCATGTAGTTCAATAGAAGTCCACTTTAGTTTCAGAGGAACATACCACCCCCATCTTCAGGATTGAACATTAAGCCAAGCAAAAATGCAGATTGAAGCTAATGGCTTATTGTACTCTTTTATCGTGAAGATGAATCCAAGCAAGACACAGGCAAGAAATAAGCAGCTTGGCTTACTACTTGCCCTGAAGGTGGAGATAATATGTTCCTCTGAAAAGCTGGTAAATTTCTACAGAAATACATGGCATTATAACGTAGGTCATATTCTATGCATTTTTAAAATTAATCCATATCATTGGTTCTCAACCTTGGTCAGAATTCCATTTTATAATATATTATATTATATTATAATATTTTATAATAATAATATAATATAATATTACAGCCATGACAGTAGCGTAGTTGGTTGAGGCACTATGCTACAAGCCGGAAGGCCACGGGTTCAAGTCCCAATGAGGTGTATATTTTTTTTCAATTGGCCTAATCCTTCCAGCCACAATATGACCCTGGAGTCGACTCAACTGCTAACAGAAATGAGTACCGGGAATCTTCCTGGGAGGTAAAGGGCAGCCGGCGTGTAAGGCTGACATCCTCACCACCATCTATGAGCCGATTATCTAGAGAAAATGTGGGAGCCTTGACGCCTCACAACCCTATGAGGCTTCACTGCCTGTTACAGGGATAGCTTTACCTTTACAGCCATAACCACAGCAAAATACATCAGCAGTTTACAAACAGTATTAAGAAAATAACAAATACTTGTGTAGGATCTGAGGCTCTCACAACAGTGGATATGAAGGGTTCTATCTTCTGGGTTATAACATCATGTAGTCTGTTGAAAATCAACTAAAATTTAGGAGGAACTTGAAGGAGCTACCCATTTTATGCTGGTATCTTGCTTGGTTTATTTTCCAACCCTTAAAATGGAGCTGACATGTTCCTCCAAAATACTGGCTGATTTGCAGCTGACTGCATCACGGAAAAGAGAACTCTTCAACAAATATATAAGTCATACATATGAAAATACTAGTTTACACCATATTCTGTTCATTTACACAACAAAAGAAAAATTTGTTGGAAGGATTTCCTTGTCTTCCTTCTGCCTTGCATGTATTTATCAGTGTCTGTCTGTCTGTATATCCATCTGTATCTGTGAATCTGTCTCTGTATCCCCCTCTCTGTTTTTGTTAAGAGGTTTGGGAGATTACTTTGCTGTCAGTGGGGCCCCCTAATTTTTCATTTTCTGTGTGGTCTGTTTGTGTCTAGAGAAAATGTGGGAGCCTTGACATCTCACAACCCTATGGGCCTTCATGGCCTGTTATAGGGATAGCTTTACCTTTTACCTTTTTACTTATGGTAGGCTGAAATCTGTTAAACATGAATGTTATGTGAGAGAGATTTGAGGTTCTTAGGGTAATGACCATGGAACTTGCCACCTCCTATGATATGACACTGTGTGGACTGACAGAAAGTTACCAACATTTTGGAGCAACCTTCTGCTTCCAGGAGATGGGTGCAGCAGATTACTTTAAATCGTTAGTAACTTTCTACTGCACTACAGGCCACGTGTTCACACCAGGCCTGTAGGTTGCATGCGAAGAGAGGTACAGCAAGAAATAGCAGGACAGTGGTTGCAGTTGCACTGAGGCAGTGAAGGAGAATGATGCACTGTAACTAAGGCCTGTACACACCCTGCAGTCCTTGTTAATTAATGAGCTTGACCTAATCCTCTTCTCACCCTGATGAGAATTGCCAGGTATGTAGAAACATGAACAGTATGTGGCATCATATCCCAGATTACAGTAATCTCAAATCTCTTTATTATGTCAGGGCACATATTTCTTAATTTTATTTTATGGCTTGCTCTTTGCACAGTTCCTGTCTGCAGTGATGCTGAAGGATTATGAAACAGCCCTAAAATACTGCAAACTGAGTAAGTATGATGACTTATCTGCTTTTGTTTTGCTTTTTTTTTTTTTGTGCTGTCGGTGTCAGAGGTTTGTAACATCAATGATAAGATCATTAATCAATACGGAGTGGGTGGCAGAATGAAAATTGACGGGGGAGATCAAAGTACTTGGAGAAAACCTGCCCCTTAGTCACATTGTCCACCTCACATCCCATATGACCTGATCTGGGATCAGACCTGGGCCATTGCATTGGGAAGCCAGCTGGTGACTAACTGCATGAGACATGGCATGATCTGATGCGTTGTTATTCCATGTTAGGTGGGCCCCCTGTTGCCTGGCATGGTGTGTCCTGAAGTTGTAGGTGGAATAGATGGCCTCCAGGTATGACAGTCAGCTGTGAAAAGCTGATAAAGAGTGGTCTTCCAGCTTGGTAATTAGGTGGTGGGGCATAACTTCTCCTCACTAAAAAAAGCCTCCATGTTGCAACATATTTGGCTGAGCCTCAGGGTAAATCTTTGGAATGACTTAATAAATGGAAAATGAACATTGGATTTGGAACTTGGAATGTCAGGAGTCACTGTAGTCACAGTCAGTGAAAACTGCAAGAGAATTAGCAGATTGTTAGTTAGATTTAATGAGAATCATATAGCGCAAGAGAGACATTGAACCAGGAGATGTTTGAAGAATGCCGTCTTCTGGGATGTGGAGCCATGTAGATCCTGTATGAACCGACGTTTCGGAGGAACGTATCGCCTCCATCTTCAGGGTAGAAACTGTGAGCGAGGAATCAGCTTGAGCAGGTGGCTGCATCCTTCAGATTTTTCTACCCTGAAGATGGAGGCAATACGTTACTCCGAAACATCGTTTCACACAGGATCTACATGGCGCCACATCGTAGGAGATGGCATCCTTCATAGTCACCGTCGTGAAAATCTCAAATCTTAAACCAGGAGATGTTTATTCACATTTCTGCTTAAATATGAGTGCTTACCATTTTGACCATGCAAATGAAGGGAGCATGTTCTTGTGGAATGTTGGTACACCTATCTGTCATACCACACAACGTCACATCCCAGAAGACTGTAACCTCGTGGTTCAGTGTCCTAGTAATGAAACTTCAATTCACCTTAGCACTATACATCCATCTCAGAATATTATGTTTTCTTATTTCAGTCCTGCAGTATGAACCCAACAATGCTACTGCCAAGGAGTTCTATCCGTTAATTGTGGAGAAGCTGCAGCTCAGTGAGTATTGCTTACTCTGTTATGAATCGAGTGCCAGTTGGAGATGAAGCCCAAACTTAAAAAACTGAGGATGTGCTACTTGGGGGTCAGGGGTGTCGCACACTGCAGGGGACAGTGGTAGTTGATGTTCTCACAGCAGAGCTTATGATGAGTTCTGTCTTCAGGGATATAACATCATGTAGTCTATTGAAAGTCAACCAATGTTTTGAACAATATGTCACCTCCATCTATTTTTTATGAGGATATCAGAGCAGTTTTTGTGAAGAGTTCTATCTTCTGGGATATAATGCAGGGCTTACTACCTACTTCACACTGGTTTTTTGCTTCACTTATTCATCCCTGAAGATGGAAGTGGCATGTTTCTCCAAAAAGTTGGTGGATGTTGCACAGACTACGAGGCATTATATCCCGAAGATAAAACTCTTAAGTGATAAATGTGTTTGGAGCAATTGCAGATGAATGTGAAACTTGGGAAGAATATAAGGGACTTTCTCATAATGCCCAGTTCCCTTTCTAGTAAGAGGAATAACATGAGAGATGTTCAAGTGAAATCTATTCATGGTGCTGTAAAATCAGGTTTAATGAAGACTGCAAGGCCACAGTGATACAGGGGTTACAGCAGCAAGCCAAAAAGTTGTTTGCAAAAAGTATCCATCAGCTGATGTTTCAGTGGGATGCCTGCCTGGGGACTATTTTTAACACTCTGCTGCTTACTCAGAACAATCTCTGGACAGGTTTCATTTGAAAAATGGTCATAAATCTTCATGGGATATAGCGCCGTGTAGTCCACTGAAAGTCAACCGACTTTTCAGAAGAACGTGTCACCTCCATCTTCAGCCTTCACGCTGGTTTCTTGCTTGTCTTATTCTTCAACCCTGAAGATGGAGGTGATATGTTCTTCTGGATCATCGGTTGACTTTCAGCAGACTGTGAGGTGTTGTATCCCATGAAGATGGTATGCTTCATAACCATCCGTGTGAGAACATGAAATCCTACATACTGTCATAAATCTGTTTACAAAATTTGCAACTTGTCATACATTCTTGAAGTGAAACATTAAATATCTCCTTATGTCAGTAATTTTGCTGGCAATTCTGCTAGATTTTAGCAATGTTTTCATACTCTTTTATCCTACCATGTTAGCTATAGCATGAGGTCAGCAACACAGGTAATGCTGAATGCAGTATTATTTTTGTGAAAAAAGAACTATGATTACCTCTCTTCTGCTAAATATATTTAGATTGGTGACACAGAGTAAGAAATAGAGAATACATTGTACGTGGTGCGTTCTGCATATAATGCCTCCTATTTTTTTGGTTAATATGTAACGTCTGAGCTGCATGTTGGTGGTGTTGTAGTAAAGGTTGAACCTTCCCACCAATGTACTGTTAATTTGGTTGTCGTGGGACAGATAGCGACAGCAGAGCAGTCTACCAAAATGGCGTCTGACATAGAAGTGCGTATGAAGGAGAAATGTGTTATTGAATTTCTCACTGCCGAACAAATTGTACCCATTGACATCCATCGACACTTGCTAAAGGTGTACAGAGACAATACAGTGGATGTCAGCACAGTGATTCGGTGGGTAGTGCGTTTCAGCAGTGGCGAAAGTGAAGTGCACGACAAGCCACGCCATGGGCGTCCCGGCTCAGCTGCCACTCCTCACAATGAACAGCGCCTCATCTAAACAGATCAGCAGATAACAACCAGGGACTGTCAATTCTGAACGCTACAAAACGACGCTGACTAAGCTGAAAGCCCGTATTTCCCGAGTCAGGCCAGAGAAGCAGACAACCTTTCGCTTGCAACATGATAACGCTAGACCCCATACCAGTTTGGCTACCACCATGCATATTGGAAAGTTTGGCAGGACTGTCCTACCACATCCACCTTATAGCCCCGATTTAACACCTTCAGACTTCCATCTCTTTGGGCCTATGAAAGACGGACTACACGGGCTGTAAGAAAGTGGCTAGCCTCTGCTGACGCAGACTTTTACGGGCACGGCGTACAGGCTCTTGTTCATCGATGGCAAAAGTGCATAACGAATGGTAGTGATTATGTGGAAAAATAGCTTTAGAGGCATTATATACGGAATGCCCTTAGTAATTTCCTATCTTATAAATGTTTAACAATTTTGACTTTCTGTTTCAAAAGTTATTGGGGAAACACACACACTTCTATGGATATGGTATTTTGTTTGAATTTCTGTTGCAGAAACAGAGATCAGAACACAACCCCCTAACAATATGTGGATTATGCAATATCACTGTTCTCATTTCTGAGTGCCACACTGGCAAATGTTGAGACAGTGCTGTACTTATTAGTCAGTAGGACTTGAGGTTCTCATGGTGCTGATTATACAGAGTTATATCTTCTGGGATACCATGTAGTTTGGTTAAAGCTGATGTTTTGGAGGAGTATGTCGCTTCCCTCTTCAACCCTGAAGACAGAGGTGACATCAGTTGACTTTCAACAAACTACATGGCATTATATTGCAGAAGACAGAGTGCTTGTCATTAGATACTGAACATGGAATGACAGTGTACAAATTCTCCTTGTGTGCATTACTGTAGTTTGTAATGGATTTCACTCACTTCTCACATGATTCTAGATGGTACCTGTCACAGTCTTCTGTATAGAGAGCTCTTGCTGTCTCGTGCAAGCATGTGTATACCCCATCTCTTTCTTACCACTTGAGACATGGTACTACAGTATTACCTTTTACATATTCTGCAATAGCTGTGTTATTCCAATATTTGCAGATACATACTGAAGACTTAAATTGGGTCTGATCGTCATTGTTGTTGTCCTATAATATCCTCCCAGATTTGCATCCTTTTATTCCATTTCTTCTTTGTAACTTGTCACGTTTGAGGGAAGCATTTTTAGACTTAGGTTCCCCAATAGAGATAGTTCCCTGCCCAGAGCATAGACCAGCACTGGAAGGGTGAACATTGAAAGCCTCAGTGTTTTCTTCAAGTATGTTACATTCAGGTTTTTAAGTGATATTGCAGTTAGATATGTTCAGGGTGGGTCAGCCCCCTTGGTGAGTGATGGTGGTTCAGAGACCTCCAAAGTGATGTTCAGTGAGAATTTTTCTAAGCTGGCAATGTTGTTCATTGCTTTTATACCTGCTCTACATCATTTGGTAACATTTATTGAAAAGACAGTTCCTATAGTTTGCTATACTTCAAGCTTGAAGCTAATTTATTTTCTTTCCTCTCTTGTGACCTCTCATCCTGTCCTGCATTACATAATTTTTATGTTACTGTTGTTTATGGTAAATTCATTTTCATTCACCCAGGCTGCCAGATTTTTCATAATGTTCTGCAAATTTGAACTGAGAAAATAGTGACCATATCATCCATACATTCACATGCATGCACACTCTCTTTTTTTGTACTGATGTTGTGAATCTTACAGGATTGAATGACATCTAATGAGGCAATGCAGGATAACACCAGGCCCAAAGGGTCACATTCCATTCAGCTGCACGTCAAGAATCAATGTCTTATTTATACCAACAATAATTTATACCATGTTGTATGTTGGCATAATTTCAGTTAGAAGGTTCAGCTGCTTACTTTCCCTTATTGCCTTCTTTAGCTTCTTTATGAGTGTGATGATGTAAAACCCTTGGCACTAGTCATAAATGTATTTTTCTTGTGGGTGACAGAAGGGTAAAGAGCAGGTGACATTAAAGTCATATTATACATAACAGGAGCATATGGGAATAGTGATTGTTAATATAGATTAGACTTTCATTATACCTGCTTTTTGAAGTATAAGAGAATGTATTATATCATAGGCATCACCAGTATAGTATCAGGACCTAAACCATTTGACAGATTGTCTTACAATTCTGTATGAGAAACTTTCATGAACAGTTGTTGGATAGTTCAAGTTTTCAGGCATATTGATCCATAATAAAGCCTAATTTACATAGGGCCATGAGTGGACTTTTTCAAATACCCTATAAACCGTTTCACAGATTTTGTTGAAATTCAGTAAGGGAAACTTTCACAAAATGTTGTTAGGTACCTCTGATTTTCAGCCATATTGAACCACAATAAGGCCTACTATGCATAAGGTCATAAATAGACTTATCCTCAGATTCTGTTCAAATTTGATATTGGAGACGTCTACTAATTTGCATATCATTATTCCAGTTTTTAAGTACAAAGAATGTCATTTGTTATTTTGTGTGCTGAATTATGGAGAACTGTAACAAGGAGGTTATCTTTGAAAGTAGAAACATTACATTCATGCTTACAAACACATTGAATTTTAATAAGAAACATCCAGATCTATAAATATACCACTGGGCATTAATAGGTCAAAAATACCTTGTTACATCCTCAGTCAGAGTAAGAAATAATTTTCTTAATTGGATCAACCAGAATAACATTTAGTTATTACTGACCACATACGTCAGTGTTACATTTGTCCTTGCTGAATCAGGTTAAAAATGAAATAACGTCTGCATGAAAAGTTAAATACAAGTACAGTCAGTCTGCTCCTGAAATGTCAATTTTAAAAAGGTAAATTTATCCCTGTAACAGGCTGTGAAGGCCCAAAGGGTTGTTAAGATGTCGATGCTCCCACATTTTGTTTAGACAGTTGGCTCACAGATGGCAGTAAGATTGTCAGCCTTATGCACCGGCTGCCCTTTACCCCCCAGTAGCTGACTCAACCCGAGCACTGTAGTGTGGCCAGAAGGATTAGGCAAATGAAAAAAATCCAACTGATCGTGATTCGAACCCATGACCTTCTGGCTTGTAGCATAATGCCTCAACCAAGTATACTACTGCATGCGCCCCCTGAAATGTCAGTTAGTTACAAGAAGTGTTAATAGTGGTGTCAGACTCCTTGCATATATCAGACTTTCGGCAAAAACTTATGTTGTGCTAAAGAGTAATATCCTCTGGGATGTCATGCAATATAATCTTGTAGAAGCTTAGCAACATTTCAGGGGAATAAACTTCATCTTCAGGGTAGAAAAGTAAGCAGCATAGCAGTAGAGAGTAAGCTTCATTCATTCAAACACTGATAAACTTCTACCAGATTATGTGGCATGACGTCCCAGAAGAAAGTACGCTTCATAGTCACTGCTGTGAGAACCTCAGATTTGACTTATTTTGTATTGTTGCATAACCCACGCGAATACATGAAGCGGTCTTATGTGTTATTAATAAGACGAATGTGTTTACAGTGAAGGAGCAGGAAGAATCTAATAGCAGCAGCAACAGTGACAGAAGTGAAGACAGCAGCGGTGGCAATGATGACTCAAGCAGTGATGGTGAGGAGAAGCCCATGAGGTCTTCGGAGTCTGATTCCGATGCCACTACAGCAAGTTATTCAAGTCTGGAAGACGAGGAAGCTGACGGAAATGACAAACATCAGAAAAACGACAATGCTGATGCAGGTAATGGTAATGACCTGAAAGGAACACCACCAAAGATAACCTCTATAACAAAACTCATCAAGGAAATGACAGTTGAACCGTCTGTCACAATATCAGTAAGCGGAGTACCCAACAGCGAACCAGCCAGTGACACACATCAAGCATTTCAGAGCACAAGTTCTGATTCTGAGTCACCTACAGAACCCGTGAGCCAGCCGACGATAGCTGAACTTCGTGCCAAGGTGGTACCTGGTAAGGCGAAGTAATGCAACTGCAATAAAATGGGAGCTCGGCAGCTGTGCAGTGCTAGCTCTAGAGTGGTGATAGTTCACAGTTTGGAACACTTAAGGTAGCAGCACAGGAGAAGACAGAATCTTTCTCAGTCAGAAGTCTGGAGAGCCAAGGGTGGTAATAGAGTTTAATTGCTGACAACACTATATCTGTTTATCATATGAAATATTCTGTTTTTTATTATCATGAACCAAAAAATCCTTCAGATCCCCTACACATGAAACACACAGTTTCTGCCATTAAGATTGTGAGACATGTTTAAATTAATATTCTGTATTAATTTCATTTATTATATTAAAACACCTACAGAGTACATACAAAGTGAAACTTACTTTTAAACCTTAAATTAAGAATATGATAAATTTGATAGCATGGAAGGAGAATTTCTTATTTTCAATGTGTTATTCATCAAAGCTCCTGGAATCATCTTATATTGTCAATGTATTTCAGTCTAATATGGCTTACATATCACACAGAAATATAAACAGAGCAACAGTGTTGGTGCAGCACATAATCATTCTCGGTAAAGTTCAAGTACTGTATGCAGTAAAATATCAATACTGTTAACTCTAAATGATATGTCAATTGCAGAACATTGTGTTTATTTTGTACAGTTAATTATTGCTGAGAGGTTTGTTGGTGGTCATGTGTCAGGTATAAGCATTATTCCTGTTATAATCCATGCTAGGATGTCTCCTTTTTTGCCTTAAATTCAGAAGCACAGAGATGCAGTCCTGCATTCATGGAAGTTTACAAGCAAAGTGCAAATTATCAATCTCAGTATCTTTCACCAGAATATCAGAGGACTGGGAAGCAAAAGTGATGAATTAATACATCATTTTGAAGTAGACAACATAAATCATCACTTATTATGTCTAAATGAGCATCACATGGTTGAACAGGTGCTGCTGCATCTCAATGAATGGTTACCTATTATGCTCCAGCTTCTGGCCAAGAGGCCTACGTAGGGGACACATGTTTATTTTTGCTATGACAGATCGACATTTCAGTAAAATTGATATTTCTCATCACTGTAAGGAGCAGGACTTTGAAATCTGTGCAATTCAATTAGTAACTAAAACATCTAACCTAATTATATTAAGCTTGTGCAGAGCTCCTACAGGAGAGGTTAATGAATTTCTAAGGAGGTTAAATGCAACTTCAAAAATATCTGTATAGTCCAAAATCTGAGTTTATAATCTGTGGATACATAGACATAAACTGTTTAAATGAGAATAACCATAAAAAAGTAAACTCTTTACTAAAGTTGTATGATTTGTCACACATTGCGAATTTTGCAGCAAGAATCCAGAATTCCTCGGCTACAGCCATTGATAATATTTTTATAGATAGTGTAAGGTTAGGCTCTTCTTGTACATTTCCTATAGTCAGCAGTCTCTCAGACCATGATGCTCAATTTCTTACAGTTAATAATATTATTACAAAATATTATTACCAGAAAAATTAATAATTAAACCATTGCTCAGTTTCCACATCTGTTAGAAAATGAAACATGGGAACCTGTTTTCAAAAATAAGGCTATAAACTATAAGTTCAGTTGTTTTTTATATATTTTTCTAAATATCTGTGAAGCTAGTTTTCCTATTCAGCATAAAAAATGACCGAATTACACAAGGAATAAAAATATCCTGCAAACATAATAATCTCCACATGAGAGCATATTACATTAAGTATTGCAAAATTCTGAGCAGAGTCTTAAAAGAGGCCAAACTGTGGACTTATAGCAAAATTATATATAAAAAAACTGTGGTTTTAGTCCGCAAGCTAACTATACTGACATAGCGTCTGCCACTTATCAGCAAAGTTAGTGCCAACTTTAGCGGATAGAGGGTGTCGCGTGATCAGCACAACAAATCCCCGTGGCCATTAATTTCCATTTTCTATACTGGAGCAAAATTATATAATCATATAAAAACAACCTGGACTATAATAAAACATGAACAGAAAAATTACACGTGACTGAAATGATACCATCTCTTCTTACAAATGATGAAAAAGTAAAGGGCACAGAAGTACAGTGGAACCTCGCATAACGAGCATAATTTGTTCCAGAATCTTACTTGTAATGCGAAACACTCGTTAAGCGAAACAATTTTTCCCATATAAATTAATGTAAAATACAATAATGCATTCCATGCCGAAAAAAAATACTCAAAAAATTTTATGTATAACGTTTATTCAAAGAAAATTATATATACTTTGTTAAGGAGCGTGAATCATCTTCATCTTTTCTTCTATACAGGATGAACCAACCTGGAATGCGAATTCGACTTGCAGAAAACAAAAATGAGAATATATAACCATTGCATAGATATTCTTGTCACTCCCTTTGAAGCATCTATCTCCTTAATCTTGTCCTTGTTCTTGAGGATAGTGCAAATCATTGATGTAGACCGATTGTATATGCGTGCTAGATCAGCCATGCTCACACCTCCTCCTCGCTTTTCAATGATTTTACTTTTCATTTCTACGGTTATTTTTATTCTCTTGTGGCTATCTTTTTGCGGCTTTTTCTTCAGGGACATTTTTGCAAGGGTTATTAAACTTTGCACAAAAAAAATCACAAATAATATGTCTGAACACAAGTTTGGAAAAATGTGTGATCACAAGCGACACTAAGATGCTAGCGGAAGGAGTGCTAAACACAGACTGATGTAGCAAGCGCATAATCCGGGACTTCCCCTCTCGTCACTCATTATGCGGAATGTCGCTCGTTAAGCGAGTAATTTTTTTACAATTTGTTTTGTTCGTTATGCAAATTACTCATTATGAGAGGTGCTCGTTAAGCGAGGTTCCACTGTAATTGTTGATGCCTTCAGTACTTTTTTCCTGACAATTGCTTAAAATCTAAACTTGCATCATAAATTGAGAGGTGATGCCATTTCATTTCCTAGCAAATTCACTGCTTTTAAGACCATTCCAACCACTGAAACTGAGATAAAAACTACAATACATTCCCTCATAGCAAAATCTCCTCAGGTTATGATGGGATAACAAGTAAAATTTTAAAAATTTGTGCATTTCTAACCAGTCAGCCATTAACTCACATTTATAATCAGTCAGTATTCACAGTGATCTTACTTAATTGTCTTAAGATTTCAGTAAAAAGAAGACTACTAAAAAATGGGACAAAACTAGTATGTCAAACTACAGGCCAATTTCACTATTAACACTTTGCGGACTTGCGATTTGAATATTTAAATCACCCTGGGGATCTGTATTTTTATACCTGTTACCCTAACTTGTGCACTGTTCACTTCAAAAATTAATATAAAATCTCCTAATTAATTTTATGAACTATAATTTTTGGAGAACAATTACCAGTGCTCCTAGAAGTGCTTGAGAGTGTGATATTTCTGGAAACATTCCCCTTTGTGAAGTGGCATTACACAGAACTTGCAATGTAGACAGTCATACTCCTTTTTTTGTGAACTGTGCAAACACGGCATTGCCTAGAAGGATGCTTCCCCTTGGAATGTTCACTCTTCACAATTTTCACGAGGGTATGTGTCCACATATCACCCGAGAGTCGCCCAGGGGTGTCCACATGAGGCCTGCATGGGGTGGGAGTTGATAGGCTAAGTCACACTAAGTCTCTCTGACTCTCGTTCTGCCGCCACCATCTGGTCTGTAGCCCAGGCCTTTGCCACATTCATCAGAAATGCTTCCTATTTCAATTTCGAATCAGGGTTCAGAGTTTTGTAAACCAAAAATGAATTCAAAATGTCACAATTTATAAGCCACAAGGCAAGTTTCACTTTTATTATCTGTGGCCACAATTCTTTGTTGACCTCTGTCATTTCCACTGTCTGAGTCACTAATCACTACTACTCCACAAGGCACGTCAGATAGCTCATCGGAGAACAAGTCAGAGAGATCGCTTTGCCTTCAGTCACTTTTGTCCTTGAAACATATTCCCTTCTACTAACTTCCTGCCTGGTACATAAACAGCTGGAAGGGGCAAAGTTTATTTTCTTTTGGAGTAGGGACCCTAGCCAGCCAGGTCAAGTTACTGAATACCTAGCATACATTCCGAAGATTTATTACGCAGTATTCATGTGTCCTAAAAATCATGATATCATGCGACCGGTCCATCACGTTTAAAAGCGAAAAGCATGATATCATGTGTCTGGTCCGCAAAATGTTAACTACTTTCTCTAAAGCACTTGAGAAAGTTAATGCACAATAGGTTAAGCCATTATTTGCTGGCTAATAATATACTAGTCCCAGAACAGTCTGGCTCCAGGAAAGGCATATCCACTGAAATTGCACCATTTAAGCTAACAGTGTATTAATCAAAAAGTCTTATGCTGGTGGAATATTCTGTGATTTGGCAAAAGCTTTTGACTGTGTAAATCACAGCATGTTGGTTCACATCCTATCTAACAGAACGCAAAAGATTGAAATAAAGTCATCAGATTCACTCCGAAGTATCTACTAAAACTGGGAAACAATAAAGCATGGAGTTTGCCAGGGGTCAATTTTAGGGCCTTTGCTTTTCAATGACCTGCTTCGTATACTAAACACCTCATCAATACCCATAATATTTGCTGATGACACTAGTGTCATAATTTCTAGTAAAAAGGTAGATGATCTCTACATATTTTCAAACAAAGTTCTCTCTCAAATGAGTAAATGGTTTTCGGCAAACAAGCTATCCCTGAATATATATAAAACAAATGTAATAAAATTTATAACAAAGGAACTCACCACAATATCAATTAATATTTGATATAATGATAAATATACAAAAAACGAAATAAAAGCAGAAATCCTTGGCTTACAAATTGATAAACATTTAAACTGGAAAACTTATATGGATAAGATCTGTTTCATTCTGGTCCATCACACTAACAATATCATGAAAAGTTAAACAGTTCCGTCCAGTGTGACTGGTGAAGATTTTTCTTATTTTAATTATTTATGCCCTTACATGTTTCGGTCTTCAGAGACCATCATCAGAGAGACACCTTTACATTAATAAAGTTGGAGTTACTATTAAAATATATATTCTGAATGTTAAAATATATACATATAATATTAATAATTTACAATTGGGTGTAAAATCTGAAGTTTTTACAACTACAGCGGCTCTTCCAATACATTAAAATATTTATAATTGATTTGTTAAGATTTTATTGGAATTTATAAACCAAGTAGGTTTGCGTTGTCTTTCTTATTATTTCTCCTGATGGGGGCCGATACTGGCAGGCTAATTGGCCTATAATAGAAAACGGTGTAAATCAAAGGCTAAATGAGGAATCAAGAAAGCACTATAATAAACTTAATAATAAAATTTACAATTTAACTAAACTACACGCCAGAGTACACTCGATTAATAAATATTTTATCCGCGACTGCGCAATATGACTAACATACAACTCTCTGAAGAGAAAGGAAAGCTACTAAATAAAGGAAGCAAATATGATATGGATATCACACCAAAAGTTTGCATAAAACAACTAGTTTACGAAACAGAAAACACGATAAGACAGGTAAAAAACATTAATCAACAAGAAGCCATTAGATATTTTGCGACAGAAAACATACAGCAAATTGAATCAAAACAAAACATAGTAAACAAAGAATACAAAGAACAAACACACACAACCAAACAAATACAACAAAAATTAACATAACACAAAGCAACCATAACAGAAGCCGACAAAAGGAAAACTTTGGTCATTATTTATAAACAAGACCTGAATGATAAAGTCAAATCTTTTATCGAAAATAATATCACCAAGCTAAAAACAGATCCTACCCAAAAATTTCAAAGAATAGTACAAAATACTCTAAAACAATGTAAAAATATAATAGACCCAATAAAAAGAAAACAGGTACTCCAAATGAATCCACAAGCACCCAAACTGAAAGCAAAAATTAAAATCCACAAACCAGAGGCCCCAATCAGACTGGTTATAAACAACACTAATGCACCCACATATAAACTAGCTAAATACATACATCAAATACTAAACGACTGTCTAAAGTTAAAATACGAATACAACATCATTAACACAACACATTTTTCAGGAAATATGAAAAAAGTGAAACTAAACCTGGATCATAAATTATTAACAGTAGATATTAAGGACCTCTATATTAATATCCTGATCAACTGTACACTCCTTGTGACTAATAAATTACTCAAAGATAACCACATGGACAAAAGCATTATAAAAGAAATCATGTCCATACTTAGGACGATATTAAATCAAAACTATTTTCAGTATAATGAAAAATTCTACAAACCAAGATCGGGTGTAGCCATGGGCTCACCTTTATGAAGTACTATGGCAGAAATTTTCCTACAAGATCTAGAACAAAAGAGAATAAAACATCTACTGGAAGATGAAGAAATTATGTACTATAATAGATATGTAGATGACATTTTCATAATATATAATCAGACAAAAACAGCCCCCCAATGCCTCCTCAAACACTACAATGCACAACATAAAAACTTGCAATTCACAATAAATGAGGAAGTAAACAACCAAATAGCATACTTAGACTTAAACCTATTTAACAAACACAGACAAATAGAAATGGAAATATATATATATATATAGAAAACCCACAATGACAGATACAACAATAAATAATAACTCTTGCCACCCTAAACGACATAAACTAGCAGCATACAAAAATTGAATACACAGATTTCTCACACTGCCCCTCAAGGAAAATGCTAAAAACAAAGAGTTAAATACTATTATTAATATAGCACTAAATAATGACTATAAGAAGGGAGAAAAATAATCCAGATTGTAAAGCCAAAAAAGAACAAAAATGGGTTACATTTACCTATGCGGGAAATTACATACAGAAAATCACAAAACTCTTCAAAAACACCAACATAGAGATAGCCTTTAAAACAACACACACTATAGGTAAACTAGTAAATGAAAAACGAGAAACAAACCCCTATGAACAAAGTGGGATATACAAAATAATATGCCAAAGCTGCCATAAAGTATACATTGGCCACACTGGTAGAAATCTAACAAGGTACAAGGAACACATAAATATAAGACTAAACAAAGATGAATCGGCATTTGCCCAACATATACTAAACAAAC